ACATAAAAAAGAGATCTTGGGTCTGCATACAGCAATTACTTCATTACGAGTACATCGATAGATTCTCGATTGGATATTATAAAATAATGATAAAGAGGGTTATATTTTATGACGATTATAATATATAAGTAGAGCGAAATAATAGAAGGGAAATACTTCCTACTTTTCATCTATGGGTATATAAAACTGTCATGGAACCTTATTGTGACTAAATTAAATACAGTTTATCATATTTTGATATATCTATACTATCACTGTTTATAATAAGATTATTGATAAATGACAAGTATCTATAAGTCTGACGCCTACTTAGTATAACAGAGAAACATCTCACGACTTTGAGAATTTACGCAACCGAAATAATTTTAGGATTCGCGTAGGATTTCGCTTAAGACGAAGCGCGCCTAGATTTTCCGTCACGACTTTTCGACACGTCCCTGAATCGACATTAATCTGCATACAGTCAACAGATTCATAATTAATATATATATAAATTATGTTTTTTTGCAGATTTTTTACTGTATCATAATGCGATATCTGTGCTGTAAAGCAAGCGTAATTCTTCCAGAAGGCTGTGCTGTCTATCCCGGAATTTCACCGCCTTGTCACACTCTTGAACGGAAACACAATTTACAAAGTAAGCTACTTGCTGGCTGCATCAGTTTAAGTAGAGGTATATATTACTATATATGCTTTTGCACAATGTTTACGTAGTTCAGGAAACTATGCTACAATGTAACAAATTTTAAACCACCTGAACACTTCTAATGAAAGACCAATACATTATTTTGAAAGCAAACCAATAATTACATAAAGGTCTAATAAACAGTACTGTATCAGAACACAGGAACGGAAATTACTTAATGTGTTTTAGAGATACAATACGTTTTTTCTTTATTTGAATTTGAAAAGCGACGTAAGTGATTCCTTTCCGAATGATAACAGAGTTAGGGAACGCGCCACCCACTCGTTATCAATACACCTCAGAATGCATTTAGGTAAAGTAACAGGTTAAAATAAAAGTTGATTTAACATTTAAAGTTTTTGCCCAATCGGCAATTCCGTTTGACCACCAATAAATTTATCGATAAAGAACGCAATGCTAATAAGTCGAGAGCTGCCGACAATAAATCGTAAATTTTAAAAGATACACTTCATTATTCAATATATCATGTTTTTTAAACAGCCTTAGAGCATTAGGCAATAATTGTCAAGACTACTTTTCTTCAGTACATACCTTAAAAGATATATCCGCAGATATCAAATTTAAAACTTACTATTTTAGTAGTCGTTACTACTAAAATAGTAAGTTTTAAACAAATTTCAAACAAATAAACAGAACTCAGGACACTTCGCACAGTGCTATCTAGTCAAGCTAAGTAGTTTGTGTTGTGCGTAGACATCTGATTCAAATACATAGATTTTTTGTAAATACATACATAATATACATAGAAAATACCTGACCGATACAAACAATAAAAAATACAAATGTTTGCATAGTTTGAGGAATCAAACCCCTGTACCTTCAAAAGTAAAGTGGTGTGCTAAACCGGGTAGATATTTTATAAAATATCTACAATTAAAATACATATTTAGATATGTCCAATTATCAGAAATTAAATAATAATCCTACAGCAATACTGCAATTGTAAATATAACTGTTTAGTCAGACTTAGCAAAGATGTTTTAATACTTATTCTCAATCATGAAAAGGAGTTACGTTAAGTGAGGTCTAAATGCTGAACATAGACACAGACAACATGGAACTATTAGTATTGGCGTGAAATAATGAAACCCATTTCACAGTATAACGTAACTTGTAGGTTCATTAGGCGGGTGTCGATGCCCGCCTCGCCGATGCAACTTGCATAAATCAGTCCGAAGAATGCAGCCCGCCGTCCTAATGCGCTTTTGGTGTCGGCTGATAGCTCACCCCCCGCCCTTTTTCGTCTTAATTCGTATCTCTTCCACACAATTCGATGAGTTTTATGGCAGCTTTCGGAGCTCAGAGTAATTACAATTAACATTGTTTTCACTGTTTCCTTTCACGAATGTATATATACCAAAAAGTAGATCGATCGCGTATTATACGTCACTTTATATAATTGTTATTTTAGTTAGAGTCTCTCTATTTAAAGTTATTTGATTGCGACTGCAACACTACATAACTTGAGTTTATATTAGTACAAGGAAGGTTGTTAAAGTATTATATCAGTATATTACATATACACATGACAAAGGACAAAAAAGGAAACTGCTCAAGATTTATAAAAAAATCTGTAATTCATTTATATATTCAAATTTATAATATCAATATCTAATATATAAAATTTTCATGTATATATTCCTGCGAAACGGCTTGACTGATTTTGATGAAATTTTATATGTATATTCAGTAGGTCTGAGAATAGGTTTATAACTAATTTTTATACCACATTTTTTTATGTTTTCGACAAAATTTTGCATTTCTTTTTTTATGTGACATAAAAAAATATATACAATCCTAAATTTTCACCCTTCTATCACTAACCCCAATTTTATAATATCGATATTAATTTATATGGCAAAATAACGTTTTCTGGGCCAGCTAGTACAAATAATTCTCTGTGTGTTTGTCGACTTACTCTTCATAAACGATTGGACCCATTTGGATGCATTTTTGCATACACTCATATATTTCCTTAGGCTCATGGATGGTTTAAAAACACAATTATATCGTGCATGACGAAGTTTACCGAGCCTGCTGAAGTGTATAAAAGTATTAAATTAATTAAAAGAATGAAAAATGAGGTTTAGGTATATATAGTACAAAAACCAATTATATACTGATAGTAATCTTAATTTAAAAACTGAACAGAAGTATGCACCGCTAATATGCTAAATAAATGCATTTCCTTGCCGTGCCGTTTTGTCGTATCGTTAAAAGTAAGTTTTATGAAAAAGTATTGAGTATTAAATGTGACATTTCTCACTTGCACTGGCCTCGTCTTACGTCGTTAAAATAAGATATTCGATTGAAATATTCAAATAAGCGAGTTTCGGATTTAAAACCTTTATTATTTCTCTCATATTAAAATCTTCGCAACGAGTATAGTGACAGGTCCGTTGGTACTTAAAGATAAGAGTGGTGTCACAGCTTATATTATTCTAAATTATGTTATTAAAACTATTGATATTAAATATTGATAATGTACATATATACAATAATATTTACTATTCGAACATTAAAAAAAGCAATAACATATTGTCGCAGAGAATACTGAAAGACTTCAAAGTGATGTAGAATCAAGCGAGGTTAAAATAATTTATCTTTTAAATTACAGAAGTGCTATTTAGAAGCAAATTTTGTGATAATTGCATTTATGAATTGATTTATATAGTGGAAATAAAGGTTTTTAAAGTTTTTTAGTAAGATATATTCTCAAGAAAAGAGTATAATTATAATTATACTATACTATAATTATAACAATACCAATATTCTTGAATTACATTACATAATTATCTAACGTAGTTCAAGAATCTTGGGACTAGACAATAAATACATTTTATGAAATTATATGCACATCAGCACTTTCATGTATCTACAAACAGGTACAAAATATATTTTTTTAAATATACGTGTAACTAATAAAAATAAATGTAGGTACTACATGGAAAGTCTTTATGTTTACTAACTTTTTTAGTGTGTATAGGATACACAAGATTCATAACTAGATATTGATATTATACGTCGTTTTAGAATATTCTAATTATATATATTATATATATATATTATATATATATTTAGTATTTTCTAAAGTTTTAAACTTCAAAGAATGCATGTAGGTAAAAAATAAACACCAGCTTCAACTTAAAAGCATCTCTTCAAGTTCCATGAACATACCCTAAAGGGCCAAGTTCAACATTTATGCGTCAGGAGGCGAGAGACAGTACCTATCGTAATCGTAATGTGACGAGGTCTTTTACGACCAGTCGACCACTTTTAAACATTTTTATTTCTTCGCACCACTCAAATACGAAAACTACTTTGAAACCTGGAATAAAATTGCTTTATCTATTCAAAAGTTAAACTTGCTTTAATTAAATTTTGTTCATATTCAAGATTTTGTCTATTAATACATAATATTAGGTCAGAATCTTATTTTGTAAAAAAATACTATTTTCATCATTTCATTTTCCTAATAATCTTATCCAACATTTTCAAATTTAAGTAAATACTTAATTATCGCTAACATTCTTCCAAATTATTCCTAGAGATACCCTTTAATCCATAATATTTAAGTTTAAGTTCAATAATATTGGACACATTCTTTATTTATTAAAATACCTTTTAAATTTAACACAATACAATTTCACATATGTAGGTACTTCTTTTATTGGTAGCTGTAACCTGGGACATATTAGCTTCCATTTTGTTTGGAGAAAACTAAAATTATGTTCTAAAATACTTTTAGATGTATCAAGCAAAACTAATTAACTCTGTGAAGAGAATTACAAACAAAACTCATGTTTCACGTATACATAATCTTCGGAAGGCCTCAGAACGAGTGTTGAGATATCGTTTGCGAGAAGCGACTTATCGTAATTTAGAGCCCCCGATTAGACTGCACCAGCCGACATACGCTAACGAGCATTCGCTTAAATTTATTTTTATTTTAACAACAGTACGGTGCCGATGTTTTGTCTTCTACCGACGATTGTGCGAAGTTAATTGGATTGTCCGCTTTGAATTGTTTGGTGTGAGTAGTACATTGGCTACATTAATTGATTTGACCACTCAATCTGTTTTTATAATCAAAAACATTATAAAGGAATTAAACTGAAAAATTATTATAGGTAACACCAGTATCGAAAAATATTGTGATTTGCGTTTTTTATTTTTAATATACGCTGTTAAATTATTTATGTATAGTTAATATTAGATCGCATAAACACAATTTTCAAATCGAATGATTGCAATTATTATGTCAGTATTCCATAAAAAATAATAATAATCTTACCTTAGTCCTAGTGGTTTTGAGAGGATTTCCTGAAGACACAGCACAGATTTCGACATCATATCTATTAATTCCAGCTTCACGGTCTAATGATACTGCTGTTGACAAAATTCCCAAGGAAGAATCTACATCAAATAGTCTATCCACTTGCCTACCATCACCGGTCACATTAACAATATAATATTCTAATCCAGATTTATAGTTATTAGTAAGATTTAACACAGCTGTGCCTGCCGGTTCGTTCTCAGCTACAGAAACTGAGCCAATGTTTGTCCAAATAACACCCTCTAATTCAGTTCCACCCATAATAACACTAAGATAAGTTTCTGTACTTCTTTGTTCACTTAACACGGCTTCATCTGTAGCTTTTATAACCAGGTTCCACCTGGCCTCTGGCATAGATGGTGGGTATCGTAACGTAAGCGCCCCGTTACTTCTATGCAAGTCAAATAAATCATTCCCACCATGAATAAGCTTATAAGTGACCAGCCCATTTGTACCCGAATCTAAATCACGTGCTAACACGTTCATTATAAATATTCCTCGACCGACATTTTTTCCCATCCTTTCTAAATTAATTACAGCAGCATTCATAGAAACAAATACTGGAGCATTATCGTTTATATCTTCAACGATGACAGTCACTAATTTTTCAGCCGACAATCTTGCAGAAGCTGGCTGTGCTCTATCATAGGCAACCACAGTTATTCTAAATGTGTCTATATTTTCTCTATCAATAGGTAACAAAGTATGTATAACTCCAGTGACATTATTTATAGCGAAATGACGTCTGTTATTATTTGGATCCTGATGTGTGATTGAATAATAAACTTTACCATTTAAACCAGAATCGGGATCCTCTGCAGTTACTGTTACTATAGGAGTATGCTTTGGTATGCCTTCTCTAATTTGTCGTACTATAGCCGTATTGGTAAAAACAGGTGCATTATCATTTGCATCGATCACATTTACAGTAAAAGCAATACTAGAAAATAAACTAGGACTTCCATTATCTGTCGCAGTAATATTTAAAACATACGACGTAAGGTCTTCGTAGTCTAACTGTTTGTGTAAAAATAATTCTCCAGAGTAACTGTCTATAAAAAATGCTTCTTTCCTATTACCAGACGTAATAGAAAACTGCAACTCTTTGTTTATTCCTAGATCAGCATCTGTTGCATGAAATTGTATGATTTTCTTATTGATTGGTTCGGTTTCCAATACTGATACTTTTAATTGTGTTTGAGTAAAAATAGGAGCATTATCATTTTCATCAAGAACTTCTACTAAAATAGTAGTTGTAGCAGAGAGACGAATAGGTTGCCCTGAGTCATGAGCAAGTATTGTTAATTGATAGTTATCTGAAGTTTCACGATCTAAAGGTTTATTTATGAGCAATTGTCCTGTAGCCTCATCTAGAGAAAATATTTCCCCTTCGTCACCTCCAATAAGCTTATAATATATGTCACCATTAAGACCTTCATCAGCATCAGTTGAAAATACTCTCATTATAGAAGCTCCCACAGTTGCTCCTTCTGAGACTTCTACTTTGTATGGTGTCCGTGTAAATATAGGAGCATTATCGTTTACATCTGTTATGTAAATTGTGACTCTAACTGAATCCGATAATTTTATTTTTCCATTGTCACTTACAGTGACAGTTAAAGTAATATAATTTTGACCAGTATTATGAGCTAAACTCTCTCTATCAAAAGTCTTCAGAGTTTTTATAAAGCCATTTCTTGGATCTATTCTAAAATCACTTTGGGCAATCGGTAAACTGAACGTTAATTCTGCATTACGTCCTATATCTTTATCGGTAGCCGTTAATTTTCCTACAAAAGTATCTAGAGGTTCATTTTCTTTTATTTTAAATATAAATGTAGTATTTGTAAATTGGGGGCTGTTGTCATTTTCGTCTAAAACGTGTATAACAACAGGAACTTGAGAAGATCTTGGTGGTACTCCGTAATCAGTTGCCACTATTGTCAATGAGTAATAATCTCTATCTTCTCTATCTAACGGGCTTTTAACATACAAAAATCCATCAGGAAAAACTCCAAACTTTCCGTCAGTATTTCCCTCTGTTATTGAATAAGATATTCTTCCATTTAAACCTAAATCAGCATCAGTAGCAGAAATTACGAAAAATCTAGTATTGACGAGAGTAGACTCTAATAAAGATGTTTCATAGGAAGTATGATCAAAAACAGGTGTATGATCATTAACATCATCTATAATAGCAGCTACAGAATAATTTGTAGCAAGAGTTGGATTACCATTATCAGTGGCTGTAACTTCAATAGCCATAACATTTCCAGGTTCACCTGAAATTGGTTTATTTAAATATATTACTCCGGTAGTTTCTGAAATACGAAACCCATTCTCGGGATTACAGCTTAATGTATAAAATACTGTTCTATTTGAACCAGAATCACGATCAGTAGCTCTAGCAAAATATACTTCTTGTCCAACTGCCATATTTTCAGGGATATGAATTTCATCTTTAGCTTCAATAAATATAGGATAATTGTCATTTACATCCAAAACAGATATATTTGCTAACGTGAAACCATATGATATACCACTTTTAGCCATTATTTTCAAATGATAAGTCATTTTATCCTCACGATCTATATTAGCGTCGGATGTAATAATGCCACTATTCTTGTCGATTTTGAATACATGTTTAGAATCACCTTCTAAAATATAATATGATATTGTATCACTTGATATCTTTGCATTAACTTTTCCAACATACCGACCTACATTGGGTTTTAATATTCCATCATCTTCTTGAATTTTAAAACGGTATCCATTGTAAGCATCAAATTCAAGAGTTTTATGATGAGACATTTTAACAATTTCTACGACAGCATCTTCCAGTGCTTTTCTGTTACCATTATCTTTACAAGACACTTTCAATGTAAATATAGTGTGAGGAGCCTTACGAAAATCTTTTTGTAATATTATGTTACCTGTCCACGGTTCTACTTCAAAGTAACCATCACCACCGCTTTCCAGTTTATAAATAATTTTAGCATTTATGCCTTCATCCAAATCAAATGCTTTTACTTGTAATATAGTAGTGCCAGGAAGTAAGTCATCATTTATAGTTTCTATGTATCTTTGAGGATAAAATATTGGAGCATTATCATTGACATCTAAAACTTTAAGAAATATAGTAGCAGTAGACGATTGAGGAGGAAATCCTTGATCCTTTGCTAGAACTTGTATTTCATACATGGGTATTTTTTCTCTATCTAATTCAATAATTGTACTCAATTGTCCAGTTATAGGATCTAAAATAAATGTATTAGGATATTTTCTTTCTATACTTGTCGGTAAATAATAAGAAACTGAACCGTTTGTGCCTTGATCATAATCAGAAGCAGTCAAAATCAGTATTTCTTTAACTGGCCTTATGTTTTCGTGCAAAGTGGCATTAATTTGGGATTGAGGAAATGAAGGCGCTTCATCATTTTCATCTAATATTGTAACTTTTAATCTTGTATACGCCCATTTAGGATTAGGTCCTCCATCCCTAGCTGAAACATTTAATTCAACAGTTCCTTGAATTTCCCTATCTAATATTGATTTTGTTGTAACTAAACCCGTAAAATGATCTATATAAAACCACTGTTGCTGATTGCCGTCATAAAAATCATAATATATTTCAGCGTTTACGCCTGTATCTTCATCAGCAGCAGTAATACTAGCAATATATGTTCCAGGTGGTGCGAGTTCACTCAAAATAGCTGAATACTCAGATTTTTCAAACACTGGTTCATGGTCATTAACATCGTTGACGTGAATCACTAAATAAGAGGTAGTGGTTCGGGAAGGAGTTCCTCTGTCGCTAGCAATAACTGTTAAATTATATTTGCTTATTTCTTCTCTATCCAATACTCCATTTACGTGTACAATATATACACTAGAAGAGTTTTCTAAGCGAAAATGATTCAACTCATTTCCGGATATAATACTGACACTAGTAATACCATTTAATCCAGCATCAGAATCTGTAACTGTAATAGCAGCAACAAGGGAACCATTTTTTGCATTTTCATCTACTGTAGCAAAATTAGCTGTTGGTGGTACATATGTAAAAGTAATAACAGGATCGTGATCGTTGGCATCAATAAGATTGACAGTTACATAAGTTCTAGCATCTTGGCGCGGTACGCCGTGATCTTTTGCAATCACTGTCAATACGCAGGTCATATTACAAGTAGTATTAGGACAATACTTAGGACAATTTAATTTCTTAGTAGTTGTTATAACTCCTGACTCTGGATCCACTGCAAATTGTTTCTCTGTATCAGTCACTTCATACGTTATTTTACTGTTATCACCTAAATCACTATCTGTTGCAGTAACTTTTAAAACTGTTGTTCCCGGAGTAACGCTTTCATTTAAAGATACTGAAAAATCACTTTGATCAAATATTGGAGGATTATCATTGACATCTAAAATGGTTACATTTACTTGTAAGTATCCATATTTAGGTGGATTACCACCATCACGAGCAGATATATTTAGAATGTAAAAATCATTTGTTTCTCTATCCAATTTTCCGGTTGTTTCTAAATGCAAGTACGATGTCTGACCACTCGGATTTACAGTAACATTTAATCGAAACTTTCCTTCATTGTCTCCATCTACTATTTTATAGTCATTAGCAATCCCATTTTCACCTAAATCTTTATCGGTTGCAGCATCAAGTAAAAGTTTAGTTCCAGCTGCTGCACTTTCAGAAAATGCGACAGCTATGATTGGCTCTGGGAATTCAGGAAAGTTATCATTAACATCAGTCACACGTAATCTTACTTCAATGGGGTAAGTAGGCTGGCTTGATAAGACAACAAAAGCATATCGGTCAACACTTTCTCTGTCTAAAACAACGTTAGTCCTAATTTCACCAGACACTGGGTCAAGAATAAATTCTTTTGGAGGTTCATTGAAGCGATATGTGAACCCTGGCTTTAACGGGATACGCCCGACGATGGTACCAATCGGTTGGTCTTCTGGAACACGTAGGTCGACCCCAGTGTCAACAGCACGAGACTGCATCAGTTCGGCCGCGGTGCAAAGAGCCGTGCCGGTAAGCAACGCCAGCGCAACCAGCGCTACGTGCCATCGCCACATCCTCGTCATGACGTCGACAAAAACATTGCAGGGTTGGTTCCTTGTCAGCGAAAGTTACAGTGCCCCGGGAGCACTCGCTGTGTCCCGTTCGCGCAGGCTCGCGCACTCGCTCTTCTCAGGTATGCAGCATGGCCGCTACGACCTGAGCGCACACGAATATCTCACGGAGAGTGCGACCCGTCGCTGCGCCTACGCCGTCACATTCATTCGTAAATACACGTGACACACACTATTTACAAGTTTATCTATCCTCGTCCGCAACCATATATAGAACACACAACTTTTATACAATAACAATCATCTAAACTTAAAACACTAACACACTTTTCAGTTATGTTTTTATTCGTATGACAGTTGGGTTTAAAAGCGAATGCGGCATGCGGTCTGCGTCGCAATCGGCGCGGCACTGGCAGGCGGTGGCTTTCACGCCGCCCCGCGCCCTCCCCCGCGTAATACGACGTCGACCCCTCCTCGCAGCTTTGAAAGCTCCCACTGTAGCTGCGTGATGATGATGCCAAGATAATGGCCGCCGAAGGATTCTACTATTTATTGTTCGATGCGAGTCACTCACTATTCTAAGAAAAGCTCCCGGGATGCTCAGGTAGATTTTGAAAAAACCTAATGAAGGATTTTTATTATTAATTATATTATTATACAATTATGATTATAGTTACTATGTTTTATCAAAAATGAAATGTATAACTGATATGATCATTAAAAAGATATTTTGAACACAAGGAATTAGACTAGCATCGTAGTTCTTGTGGATAAATATTTACTCTTCACTTCATTTACTTATATTAATTATATTTCTATTATCTACGTGATATTTTAATTTTATTACATGAATTTTAAGTTATTGAAATAGTGGATTTAAATTTGGAGCTAAAAATATCGTCAAACTTCGCACGCGTTGATGTCTTTAATATGTACGTCAACTCGCTTTATTTTTGGATCGTTTTGAAATATTGTTACTTCTATTGTATTACATATAAGATTAATATCTATTTTAAAAATATTTTCATGACAATAATAGCATAAGACATGACCAACCACATTTTACTTGAATGTTGTGCACCGTATGCTAAATATCTGAAGTAATCATAATTATAATATGGTCTATATAATATTTTACGAATAAAAACAATAATAAAAAGAATACTTTCGTAGCGAGTTATATCTTTTTTGTTCGCAGAAATAATTCAATTTGGCAAATTTATCTGTAACTAACTCGGATAACACAAACACCAGCACCTCTGACGCATGCACTGGTCACTGTCAATCAAATAACAGATTTATTTACAGTCTTTGTGAAATCATAAGAATAGCATTGTTTTTAATATGCTAAGCTACCAAACATGTCTTACAATATTAACTACGTACTGTATTGTCCAATACAATGCGGGCATAGGCCCGCAATGATAGATGTGTATAAAAATAAATAAATATCAATCAATACTTAGATATTTGGCCGCGATGGTCTAGGATATATATTTACACACTGATATATATCTGACTACATTACTTTCTATGTTCGCGGGTTCGATTCCTCGCATGGCACAAACATTTGTATTCATGAGTATGATTGTTTGTATCGGGCTGGATGTTATTATGTATAACATCCAGCCCGACAAACAATCATACTCATGAACATTATGTACGTATTTACAAAAAAATAATTTAAGTATTTATATCAGTTGTCTAGTACCCACAATACAAGCTCTGCTTACCGTGGGACTAGATAGCGCTGTGGTTTTTGTCCAGAGTTATTTATTTAATAATTTAAACTAGTACCATAAATAACAAATTATCAATATATGTTTACTTCTGTTGTATTATTGTTATATTCAAATATGAGTTCCTTTAAGTTTAGTTACAGATTCGAAAATTATAATAAAAATTTACGACCTCGATTGTCTAGTTATTTAGCACACCACTTTACTTCCGATGGTCGCGGGGTCGATTCCTCGCACTGTGCAAACATTTGCACTCATTATTAAAATTGTCTGTATTGGTCTGGGTGTTTTCTAGTATAATATGTATGTATTTAAAAAAAATATTTAAGTATTTATATCTAGTATCTAGTAATCGTAACACAAGGTCTGCTTAGGTTGGTACTAAATGGAGCCATGTGTATTATACAGGGTTATTATATTATTATTATATAAAAAAAACTTTTTTTGTGAGAAAGACATATGCAGCTGCAGCTGTTAAAGTAAGCCTTATTAACTTTTCTAATATAATAATAATCACATCACATCACTTTAGTGATGATAACACTCGTAACAAACCTAATTAATCCGAGAGAATACACTAGGCTAAACCTATATCTCATTGAAGCCATAACTATTCAGCAAAATATGTACATACATACATGTAAAATTATTGTGGTCGCGAAGTTATTATTTTACTTTTCAGGAATATGTATTCAAAGAGAAGACGAAAAATATTACATTGAACATGAACCATATCATTACTTAAAGGAGTGCCATATAGAAATGATGGGCTTCTTTAAAAAAAAAAGGATTACTACAGATATTTCACAATTAATTAAAATAGTTCCGTATAACCATTAACTACGGTTGTTCTTACTTACTATTATCACCAAATATTTACGTTTTGTAGTCATCTACAAGCCGCCATGAAAAGTTACAATCACAAATAAAATTAGAGCACGAAGGATTCTCTAGTTCAGGAATCTTTTAGATACGACAGAACCCGATAGATGGCGAGCTTATCAATTTTCCTTATACCCCTCATAGATGGCTCTAGGTATGTCGAAATATCAAGAAATACTATTTTACACGATGGTGCTATGTTCTTAAGTGAATTAAGAATAGTAAGGTTATACATATGTTGTATTGTTGTCAATTGGGGAACGATTAACAAAATTCTTCTTTTATTTGGAAGTGTATACTTTAGAGTATAAACTTCATCTTTGTAGGTGGTCCCATTGTCATCAAGTATTTTGATAAATGTGAATATTATTTATTACATAAACTATACCACATTAAATAGCTGAAGGACCTAATAGTTATCATAATAACATTAGTTACTAGTAGCCCAACTTCTCTCTTTGTACAATATTATAGATATTTATTATCGAATTATTCGTATTAAGATCCTGTTAATAATAGAAATAATATATACTAAACATATTATCTACATATTACATACATCCAATACTACTACATATTATCCAATACTACTTCACATGTACCACCAATACAATTATTTCAAAATAAATCACTTAGTAATAAAATATATTGTTTATAATTAAGATTATTATATATAGTATTTATTACAGGTTTGATTCGTAATTGGGTAAATCCGCTAGTTTGAAAGGTTAAAGAAATAAATATATAGATATATATATATGTATATATATATATATATATATACTGCAATAATGCAATATACATATGTACCTATATCTTCTATAGGTAGGAAACACCGGAGCTCTGACCGTGACAGAATCGATCCAACTTTTTGAGAGATTAGCAACAAACAGACAGACAGACAAAACTTATTGAAATTATTATATTTGCAAGTACCGTATATTCTAGTACCGTATATTCCAGTACCGCATATTCCAGTACCGTATATGCAAGTACCGTATATTCTTTCATATATATTTAGTGAAAACCTGTTAATTGATATGTATAGTTTTTTTATTATTATTTCTCGTTGTCTTGAAGTAACGGTTAAATTATACTCTATGAAGGTTTCTAAACAATGTACTCAAAGAAGGAATATCTATATAATTTATAAGTATGCGATATTTCATACTCCTACGTCCGCGCAATGTTACTAAATAGGGGTACCTACAAAGTTTTTGTTTCACGTATTATTATGTAGATATGTATTTCAATTACATATACCAATAAGTATTCTTCAGAGAGTTCTTGAACATACTTGTAAAAGTATGGAAATTGTTACTGAATTTAAAAAAGCTCTCGTTTTAACGTTTAAGATCTCGTGTACGTGTAACAAATGATAAAATGCTAACGTTCATAGTTGAAGACCATATAGTCATCTATTTTCATCTCTAATTTAGTTCTTGTAAGATGTAGCAACATAAATATTATGGGTGGTTTTATTAAATAAATAATAATAAAAGAATAAACATGAACCTCTGTTTATACTTACGAAAATGTAAAAAACATTAGTAATTAATAAAAAAAATGAAAAGAGAATAATGAATATTTTTTTAATAAATTAGTTTTCCACATTTTCCATATAAACTAGCAAAATCTCTTTCTTGTGAACGCCTACGCCTACTACGCTTATGAAATTACATCTAGAAACATTATATTAGTTAAGTTTCGCAAATACTCAATGAGTGGTATTTTACTTATGTTTATAGAGTCAGCTTTGTTTAAGTGCTTCTATCTTTCTGACTTTATATATATATATATATAACACTGATTTCCTCCTAACAAAATCCGCTCCCTCTCTTAATGATGGTACTTAGATCCTAAAAGACAAGTATTGTAACAATAATCACTTTGATTTAATTTTTCCCATCAGGATAAAAATGTATCGATTTTTCTCTTTCCACTTTCACATACATAGGTATAGTAACAACGCAATATGATTACGCTCCACAAACAGCTACCCTAAACCCTCCGCGCCTTCCTGGACACGCCTCTCCTCACCTCATTGATAACGCTAAAGGTGCATACTAACGCAAACATCTACAATAATAGAGATATACTTGAACACACACTACAGATTCAATTGTCATTTCCTGTGAACTCAAACCTACGTCTGTATAATACGCATTATGCAAATGTCATAGAAAACTTTGTCTAACAAAAAATAATGAAACATTTATATCTAAAAAATTTACTTATTATAATATAATAAATGACATCACATGGTATTTAGTAAGCCACTTACTAAACCTGCGATTTTTAGCCAAT